TTGTCATAGAACATCCTGGTTTGACCAGATACATGGGTGTCTAGAACAAAGACTATTTACCACCTGCCCTTACAGCCACAAGATGTGAATGGAACTGATGTGTGCTTCTGGCTGTGCCCTTTCCAGGGAAGAGGCATGTCTCCCCCACTTTCACTGTCCCCTTTCTGCAGCCTGCTGCCTGAAGTGTGGAAGTAGAGGATGCCATGCGAGCCAGAGAAACACATTAGCACAGCTGATTGGCAGGAGAGAAGAGCCTGAGTCCCTGATACCTTGGGCTACTCACACAAGTATGTTTTATGAAATATAAACTCCTTATTTTATTTAAGCCACTGCACTGCAGCCAAACCTGTGCACTGAGCTATTGCTTCCTGTAGTCCTCGTTTAGCCAGGCAAGGTCGAGAATGTCCAGTCACCCCTGACCTTCATTTACTCCAATGTGCCCTATTAATGACACATCCACTAATGAGTTGGGAAGTTCCGTCTTAGTTAAGACAGGGAGCCCCTGGAAGTGTTTGAGCGAGGAAGTGACACGATAAGGATTGTGTTTTGTAAGAATTAATTTGAGGACCATACAGAAGATTAGTCTTGCCTCAGGCTAAGAATGAGGATTGCGGGGCTTTACAGCAAAAAGGTGTGATGGAATTTTTTTAAATGACAAAATGTTCTATATCTTGATTGTGGGTTTAGTCAATATGAGTATACATATTTGTTAAAACTAATACTTAAAATAGGTGAGATATAGGGGCTGGCCCCGTGGCCGAGTGGTTAAGTTCGCGCGCTCCGCTGCAGGTGGCCCAGTGATTTGTTGGTTCGAATCCTGGGCGCCGACATGGCACTGCTCATCAGACCATGCTGAGGCAGCGTCCCACATGCCACAACTAGAAGGACCCACAACAAAGAATATACAACTATGTACCGGGGGGCTTTGGGAAGAAAAAGGGAAAAAAATAAAATCTTTAAAAAAAAAAAATAGGTGAGATATATATATATATAAACCACCTCAACAAAGTCAATTAAAGAAATTAATTTGGCTGTATGTGTGTGCAAGATAGATCAATGGGAGACAAGAGGTGAGGAGAAGAGTGAAATTTATGGCTTCAATCAAAGCTTTAGATAATTTGGACTTGTTCTTGGCAATAGTAGGAAGAATGAAATTAGAGAGACAGAGGAGTCATTTTGAAGGACAAAGTAACAGAATTCAGAGACAACTTGGGCCTGGAGACATGGATTCACATGTTGGAGGCTCCGGCTTTTCTATGTAAGGCATCACCTGAGCGTCACCACAGGCTGATGAAGATGCCATGTCACAAAACGGGGAGAAAGGAAGGTAGAGGATGGCCACCTTCACTTATGAGTTAAATACATTCCCTCTATCTCTCTGAGGCCCTCTTCTTCTTTTGTAAAACGGGGTTAATGATACCTACAGATTGCAAAAAAGAAGAGCAGAGAAAATATGTGTAAAACATCGAGATGTGTAAAACATCAAGCACCCTGTTCCCGGTACTAGTGGGCACCTGTGAATGCATGAGATAAAGAACCATTGCAATAACATATAACAGGAAATAAATGAGCTTTCAAGATGATATCAGAGACTCCCCCATACACGTCTCTAGGAGATGTTTGACGTGAAGAAGTAAGAACTCACCCAATAGGCGGGGCCGGCCTTGTGGCTGAGTGGTTAAGTTCGGACGCTCGCTTCGGCGGCCCAGGGTTTCACCAGTTCATATCCTGGGGCTGGACATGGCACTGCTGAACAAGCCATGCTGAGGCGGCATCCCACATGACACAACTAGAAGGACCCACAACTAAAAAAGTACACAGCTGTGTACCGGGGGGCTTTGGGGAGAAAAAGGAAAAATAAAATCTTTAAAAAAAGAACTCAGCTAATAGGAAAGACAAATCCACTTGTAAATCACAGGATGGTAATAGGAAGGGGGGTTGGGTGAAGTAACATGGCAGCTGGCAATATTTTTTAAAAGGAGGGCGGTTCCTTTTGCCAAGAAGATTCAGTGGTGTATTCATTTCTCTTTTCTTTACCTCCCTTGACTCATCCACAGGAGTGGGAATTCAGACAAAAGGAAGCTCTTTTAGCATCCTGCTTAAGATTCTCCTCATAGAAGATTTGGTTCTTAGCCCACTTTCTGTCAGGCTTCCTGGGATCGGAAAGCAATGCATACACATTCTCTGGCTTGACAGTGAACTCTCCTGAGCTCCAGAGTGGATTTTACAGCTGCCTGTAGACATCTCCATCTGCGTGTCCAGCAGGCATGTCCAACTCAGTGTGTCCCAAACCAAATTAATTACCCTCCCACACACCAGTCCCCCCCTCTAGTCTTCTGGCTGGTTTAATGTCACTGCCAATTCACTAGATACAAAATCTAGAAATTTCAGTTCTTTTACTTCTTGTCTCACACTCCCCAAGATCAATCTACTGCCAATTTTTGTGGATTCACCCTGTTGTAATCTGTGTCATGCACTCCACCTTTTGACTTCCATTGTCCTGGTGAGGATCCTTCTCTCTCTCTCTCAAGCACCACAGCAGCAGCAATCTAGCCAGTGTCCGTCCAGAGTCCCCAGTGTCCCACAACTCAGCGGGCCCCAGACCTAGACTAGGTAAAGGATGGCCCACCCGGGGGAGTTGTGTAACGAGTGTAACTGTCTCCCTATGGGCCCCCAGTTTCTTACTTGGCTAATTCAGTTACATTTCTGAAACATGAGTCATTTCTCTTTCTGGAAATATTTCAATGACTTGCCATTGAATTTACAGAATGCAGTCTAAAAACCCAAATTTCACCCATTTCCTTTCGCATGGTATCTCTTCAAGTATTCAATGCTCTGTCTAACCACAATGAACAACAGACCCTGCCCCCTGAGTAGCATATACTTTTTAAACTCAGAGAAGCAGCTCATGGAATGTTCTCCATGAGCTGGCTAAGCTCCACTCTTCCTTCCTCAGTTGAAGGCCATCTCCTCGATGTAGCTGCCTTAATTCAACTCTCCTCCATCTCAGATTCCTAAGCATGGCCCCACTCACTGTATGTTCCTGTCCTAATTTTATCTATGGTTGGCATGAGTGTCTCAACCAGATTTTACAGTGCTAGAGGACAGGCACCATCACATTGCCATCTCTGAATCTCCAGGGCACTTTGAATTGACTATTAACCAGTCTAAAAATGATCTCCTTAAATTTTTACTTTAAAAAATAGTGAATTTTACAAAGGAAAGCTCTTAAAAATTCCCAAAGAAACAGTTAACAATTATGTTTGCAAAGTACCCAAACAGTGAACTCCCTCAGCTCTACCATATTAAATACACTTTTTTTAAACTCCCTTGCAGTTTTATTATTCCAGGTGCACTGCTACCATAAGAGGCCTCTGTAGACCACTGCTATAAATGTCACTTGTTCCCATTAAGTGTATAAGTTTATAAGATGACTGTCTAAATTTATGTTGACTATTCTAAAGAGTATTAAGTCAGGGAATATATCAAAATATCTGAAGTCTGTAAATATAGATATCAACTTTAATTTATAATTTGAAGATTTTTTTAACTGATATATATTTGTTCCACACAATATATATTTGTTCTTTCTATGACTGTGAGACACATCAAAAGAGAAACAGCCAAGTTTGACCATTATCCACATAATTCATATAATCCTCAAAGCTGTCTCAATTACTTGAGCATTTTAGGTGAAATTATGGGAAGTTGGGGTGTTGAGGAAATTATACAAAAGGGATGCTTTTGGCTCTGATTGAGCAAGTGATTTTCTGACTGACTTGGTTCTGACTGAGCAGTTTTCATTTAAGTCTATGCAAGATATGGAATGTGGCTGCTGATTTCAAATATTGTATTCCTTGACTCATTTTCTTTTGAAAATTATTTTTTAATGGGATATGAAAACATTAAGATAAATTAACATGAATGGGCATATTTTTATATTTTATCAAACAACTATATTATTTATCATTTAGCTCAAAAACAAACTTGAAAAGTAAGTAGGCATTTTTTTCTCCTCTCTCAGTGAAGATAAACGCTCTTAAAGATAAGTTCCAGAGTTTGAAATTTACTATTATTACTTTATTTAATCATTTCTTCTCATATTTTTTCTTGTTAATCTTCTCAAGTGGTAAAAGTGCTTATAATGTACAAGAATTAGACATAGACAAATTATTACTCTCTAGAAAATATTTATTGACACATTTCAATTTCCATTTTCTGAGAAATAAACATAATACACAAAATACAGTAAAATGCACTTTTCCCATTTCAAATAAATATATTTTACTCTTGTAAAAAATTTAATAATCTGTGTAATTCACCATAGTATCTTAATCAGTGAAATAAAGCAAAGAAAATCTCTAAACTGTCACTTATTTTAATGATTCTCACAAGGTTTTGCTGGAGAAAAGGGACCTTATTACCTGTAGAATTATATTCAGACTTGGAAACTGTTGTTTCTTTTTTGGAGAAGGGAAAGATAAGCTCCTTTAAAAAAGTGTTTAGTGTCAAAAAGAGTCTTAGTTTGGGAGAAAGATAGCATCCAAGTCTTTGCCGAATGAATGAGGTTATGTGTAAGCTTTCTTGTTAAAACTGCCTAGAGACCAGACTACATTCTGACTTACTATGATTCCTGTGTATTACACTGGTAATTTTTCAAAATTAGTGGTTAAGTACTTAAATTAACAGTTGCATATGTAATATAAACCCAGGACAGAATTTTAAAGCTCTATTAAGAGGAAAGGTTAAAAATAATGGTGCTATACAGGATAAATTTATCCTTTTCACAATTGTTATTCTTAACATTATAAGAACTGAAATCTACTGAATTATACAGACTTAACACAGACTCTTATATACACATAGATCCCTGATCAGTTAAAGACAATGTGTTAGTTTGCTCTTCTAAGTAGTAGCAATATTTTAATAACCAGCAAAAATCACATTTAGGTAGTCACCAATCTTCAGAGTTTTCTTATGTATAATCTATCCACCCTCAAAAGAATATCTCACCAAGGAATAAAAGTCATTAGTACTGTCTAACTTCCTATGTTAGCCGTTAATTGGTACTTCATATACTAGCAAGCTTATGGAAGTAAATCAGACTTTACTGTAGCTCCAATCCCACCATAGCATGGCGTGTTTTCATGGATGCAGAAATGCTGGTCAAACTGCCAAGGCATAAACCCCAGAGCATAACTGTGTTTAGCAAAAAATCTTACATAGGCTATAAAGTGGGTATTGGATCTTTCCTCAGCATTATAAAGGGCATCAACTATTGTCTAGGTGGTGTCTTATAACACAGAACTTTTCCCTCTTCATTTTAAAGGATATAAAATTATATGCTTAGGCATCCTTTTATGGCAACATTTTTACTTTTACACATTTCTGAAACAGATAAGTATGTGCTCAAAAATTCACAAGTCCAATAAAATAAATTTGTAGCCTCCTTCTTTGACATTCTCTATAATTCCTCCATCTCAAAGTGTGTGTTAAAGCTGTTTGCCATGGATGTGTGTTCAAAGATCCTCGACAGGCTTGGTTTCAACAGTTCTACTGAGTGACATGACAAGTGCTGAGTGGTGTCGTTCTTCAAGGACATCATCTGGTCTGTTCCAGGTTCCCTTCTATCATAATAGAGAGCCCAGAGCAGAGTAATGGTGAGAATCATGGCCAGGATTTGTGTCACTCCAATGGAGATTCCCAGAAACCTTAGCACCTGCAGTTGTTTGGTTCCTCTCAAAAAGGAATACATTTTCTTCCCGCAACCCTGTAAAAAAATAACACAGTCAATATTACTTTGGATGTGTTACAAATGGTCAAAATAAGGAAAACAAAGGTCTGTACCAGTTAATGGAACTAAACTTTGTGAATCATAAGGTTTAAGACAGTGACTCTCAACAGGGAACGCCCATGAGAAGCTGGAGGAGAGACAGACGTGTGTACTTTTTGAAAAGCCTGCCCAAGGTGATTCTGATGGACGTGCCCCTTTTTCTGTCTTTCTCACAACCTGAAATTAAGAACCACTGACAGAAAAACATAACATTTAGAGCAAGGGTTGGCAAACATTTTTTGTAAACGGACAGATAGTATATCTTTTAGGCTTTGTGAGCCATATAGTTGTATTGCAACTACTCATCTCTGCCACTGTAACACGAAAGCAGCCATAGACAGTGTGTAAATGAATGGATGTGTCTATGTTCCAATGAAACTTCATGTACAAAAAAAAGGCAGTAGGCCAGATTTGGGGCACAGACCATACAGATTGCTGACCCCTGATACAGACTGATCCAAAATATTTAAAAATAATGTTTTATTATAATATTATTATTTGTATTCACTGTTAGATTATAGGTCATTTGGTCAAAGACTTTTCCCCAAGGACCAGGAATGTTTCCCTAGTCTGCTGCTGAAACATGCTGGTGGGTGGAACTCAACCTGTTCCCTTCCCCCTACCCCCCACATGCACACACACCTGTGTCCACTGCTTATACCAGAAATACACATGGGCTGACTTCCCCCATTACAGCAACTTCTAGTTCTACCAGGTAAGGGTTTGAAGGGTATCTTTAGCTCCTCTACAGGCCGGAGATATCTAATCTAAAAAGATTATTTAAGTTTTTGTTTCTGTCTAGTTTTAAGTACAAAAGGCTAAGGAGTGCCTATGGTAGATATAGAAGAGAATTTTGAAAGAAGAGAGAGGAAAAAACGTAAAAGAAAGAGAAGCCATGACCAAGGAAAATGGGGGGTGGGGTGGGGTGGCACTGGGGAAAGGGGGAAAAGGAGGTAGAAAGTAACTAACAATTGTCATGTCATCTCTCAGGTGACCAAAGCATAGGCTAGCTGCCATGTCTCTAGTGAATGCACAGCACAGAAACAATAATTCATTCTTCTGAAGGGAGGCTGATTTTAAATTAAGGAGAAAACCTAGAAGGAAGTTTACAACTATAACAAATTTCATGAATTTTGAAGATTCTGAGATTTCACTCTACTTGGAAGCTAACGATTAGCCTGCCACAGTTTCATGGATGCTGGCAGAAGACAGAGACAAAGGGTTTTATTACTTATAGCAATAGAAATAGCCAGAGTTGTGTCCATTCCTCGAGTCCCAAGCGCAAGAAATGACAAAGGCCAGATGACACCTGCCCACACCACGGGATGCATTCTGGGAGGGGAATCCCAAGTTTAGCGAACCCTAATCTTTTCTAACGGGCAGTAAGCATACCTATCTTTTGCAATGGAGATATTATCTTTATTATACTATCTTATACTTTATTATACTATATTATACTTTATTATACTATATTATACTTTATTATATCTATATTATACCAGACAGTAAACAAACCTGTTGTGAAGGCGGACACTATCTCTATCTTCAAGGCTGTTTTCTATGCAAACATCCTTGAAAATATAGTCCAGAACAAACGCACCAGTGCCTCTGCTGTCAAGACAGGCAGAAGTGCATAAGACCCAGAGGAAATTATCTCCTAACAAGAACTTGACTTTTCAAAGCCTTTATTTTGAGTTTGAGGTAAAAGTGACTCAGGGCTTACCCTATTAAGGCAGTCACTTGAATAAAAAGAAATTAACTATTTAAATAACCTCCTCCTTGTTTCTTCTCCAGATTCTACAAAGAACACAACTAGATCAAGGAAAGCAAGATGACTGAATCAGTTGTTAATTTATACATTATATTTGAGAGGAGGAATGAATAATACACAATTCCTAGATTTCCAAAGATATTGATCAGTAACTGTACCCTAGTAAGGCATTATCCTCAACAAATAAAAATTAAAAATTATATAAAACTAGCCATAGACAATTTGAATAACTACCTTTTTCTGGTACACCATGTGATGCAAATTAACAGCAAAAGGTCAGCAAATGTTCATCAATTTCACCAAAAGTGAATTAAAATATTTATAACTTAATACTACTTAACATTGGTTTAATAAAATCTATGGCCATCTTACCTATTTAACACACACACAAATACACACACACACACACACACACAGTAGGAAATCAAAATAGACATCACAAAGACAATTTACCAAAGTTCAGATACTTTTCAAAGAGTTCCACTCAGGTAGTCTATCAGAGCCCATTTACTATTACGTTTACACATAATTCTATGCATTTTGGATGTTGAGAAAATTAAATGAACAAACACATTTAAACACTTAGAATAGGATCTAATACATGGTAAGCACTCAGCAGGTGTCAGCTCTTATCCGGTCTGTCAGCCCTCAGAAGATTAGAAAGCTCACATTAAAATAGATGGAAAATCTATGAAAAGCAAGTATTAATGGACAAGTATGAGGTACAGCACTTTTTTTTAAGATTGGAACCTGAGCTAACATCTGTTGCCAATCTTCTTTTTTTTTTTCTTTTTCTCCCCAAAGCCCCCCAGCACATAGTTGCATATTCCAGCTGCAGGTCCTTCTGATTGACAACACTTTTTAAGAGTATGAAAACACCAAAAACACAGTACTGTGTCGCCTCTGAGTGTTGTCGAAACACCCCTTGCCCACAAGGGCCAAGGTGGTTGTGACTGCTTTTCCAGGACAGTGAGGTAACAATCCAAAATGATTATATGCCCCTGGGACGTTAGATCACGAGCCTCCTCATTAAGCAGAGAAATATTAAACATAGTTTGAAAAGAGACACATCAAAAATAGTTAAATTGAGAAGGTTTAGCTTCAGACATTTGGAAAATTAATTTATATGGACATATCATTTAACATCATTGCCAAGTAATGTAACACAAGGTCATCATATCTATCTGTAAAGAAATTGATATAAAATGGCTTTGCATTATGTTAGTTGATTCCTTATCTAGGTTTTCAGTAATTATAAACATGTATCTTTAATAAATAAAGAATTAGCATGGGCCTATCAATATTTTGGGAATAATAACTGCAGTAAATTTCAGAATTAAATGTAAATCATTCAAGAAATACATATGCTCATGATTCAACACTGTGAAATGCTATTTGCCAATTATCATTTCATTTTTACATTTTTAGTACTCTTTGGTGCTTAAATTTTACCTTTTTGGTTCTTCCTATTGGTATAAGATCTCCCATCCCTTTAGACTACTTCATTCTAAACTGAAAAACTGCAGGAAAGGTAATATTTCTTTTTTAAATCTGTGAATAAGAGACTGATAACTAAGCTACAGTCTATTGTGTTTCATATTTTCACACTGGAATCACATCTATAAAAAAGGTACAGTAAATTATATCATCTAGGTTGGTGTGGGAATGTAATATATTAGTTAACATTAAATTTTCTAGAGTGGGAGAAGACCTTGGAAGTCAATGAGTTCAACTTTTTATCTTTTAAAAATACGGCTAAAGCCCTTCTAGAGTGACATCAATAAAATTGGCAGAGAACGGACCTCTGAATAATCTCTCCTCCATATAAACAATGAAATACTAGCAAAAATTGTCAGAATCAACTTTCTTAGAACTCTGAAAATTAACCAAAGGCTTGCAGCAACCTGAGGAGAATGTATCCAAGACAGGCACCTGAATTGCAGTAAGAACAGCAAGCTTTGTGGAATTTTAATTTACCCTATTCCCATCCTTTCTCCCCAGCTCTGCAGTCAGCCTGGAAAACCAACAGCGCACAATCATGGTGAAAACCAGCAGCCTGGCTACCAGAGGCAACAGAATAGGGTTGGATCTGCTTCAAAACCCCATTCCCAGAGAATTGTCATTATTTGTCCTATTTGCTGGTTCCCCAGAAGACCTCTTGAAAGGCTGTTTTTATTTGACCTGACTAGAAGCTCAACCACGGAAATAGCATTTTCCCCCTAGCCTGGAGGTGTTTGTCGAAAGCAGTCAGAGGTAACTCTTGAACACTGAGGCTGCCTAAAGTAGTAGATAACAGTGGCACACACTGGGCTAGTCAAAAAGCTTAAAAAGGAGAAGCAGGAGGATGTGAAGTCCATAGTGGGTTAGGCAAAGCTCTAACATATTTGTGGGGATCTAGAAAGTTATATACATAAGTAGGGCGGTGCTCCTGCCCAGGGCTATGCACCTAAGAAAGCTCTCAGATCTCACCTCTGCCTAACCTTGAGGCTCTGCACACCCTTGGCAAAGGCTGGGAGACTTATTGGTTCCAGGCACTTAAGGAAATCTCTGTTCACTCATTAGCTAACTGAGCAGAGACTTTAGTGGCCACATAAACATAAAGAATACAGACTTTACAGAATTAGTTCAGAAAAGTCACTAATGAAAAAACAACAACAAACTGAAGGGAGGGGGGAGATTCTGATTTCCAGAGGTGCCAGTTATATTACTTAAAATGTCCAGTTCCCAACAAAAAAAACTATAAGGTGTGGAAAGAAATGAGAAAGTGTGGCTCAAATACACACCAAAAGAGCCATCAAAGAAAATTCACTTCTAATGAGAGAGACTCCTTGCCTCACCAGACAGCCTTGTCCACACAGCCTTGGAACTTGTCTTCTTAATGAGATGCATTGGTCCTAGTTCTGCTCTCAGACAATCTGTTTTCCATAAGGTAGAGAGTCATACTGGAAGAGTCATTGTTTTCCCTCTAACCATTCTCTTCTCCAGACTAAATATTCCCAATTCCCTTAAGTTTTCCAAATATATACACTTCATCATCCTGATGATCTCTTTCTGAATTGTGCTGATTTTGTCAATGTTTCTTTGAAAATATCACTGATTTTTAACTTTAAAAAACTAGAAAATGCAATAAACTATTAAGACAACCAAGGCTGTTGTGAATAGGTTT